CCGACGGATACATGGAGGCTGATAGAGTAGGGAGAGGAGGATGGTGAAGCAGAAGATAAACCAGTGCAAGGATGCTCAACGACAAGAGGAACTGAGTACAATGTATAAAACACTGTATTAAGAAGTGAAGAAGAGTGGGTGGAAAGACAAAAGACACTTCTACGACACACTTGCATGTGAAGCAGAACAGGCTGCAGGTAGGAGAGACAGAGACCTGACAACATTGTATCAAATAACCAGGTTATTATCTGGGAGGGAAGAGATCAACACAGATGAAACCAATGAAAGATGATAAAGGAAATCTAATTACGAAAGGAGAGAAACAAAGGAAACGATGGGCGAACCACTTTAAGAAGCTCTTGAATCATTCACCACCACCACCTGCACTTCGTCCAGAAATACCACCTGCAGACACAGAACTGTAAGTGAACATAAATTCTCCAACAAAAGTGGAAGTCCTGAGCGCCATGAAGCTACGGAAATGTTAGAAAGCAGCAGGATCAGATAGATTCCTGCCAGAAGCACTGAAAACAGACGCAGAGACAACAGCGGACATGCTCACACCACTATTGCACAAGGTGTGGAAGGAAGGGAAGGTACCTGCCCATTGATCGGAAGAAGGGCTACCTTGTCAAACTCCCGAAGAAAGAAGACCTCACTGTTTGCAAGAACTGGCGCGGAATCACGCTCCTGTGCATCCCAAGCGAAATATTAAGCCGCATCGTCCTGGAGAGACTGAAGGATGCGCTGGATTCAAAGTTACGACCGGAACAGGCTGGCTGGCTGACTGGCTTCAGGGAGTACAAATCATTTGCTGACCAAATTGCAGCGCTTCGCATCATCACAGAACTGAGTATAGAATGGCAGTCAACTATCTACCCCAACTTCATCGACTTTGAGAAGGCCTTCGACAGCGTCGAACGAGAAGTAATTTGGCAGGCTGCTGCTTCAATACTACGGAATACCACAAACCTTTATCAATCTCATTCAACAACTATATGAAGACACCACATGCCAAGTGGTCCACAATGGGAAGCTCAGTGATGCTTTTGAAGTGAAAACAGGGAGGAGTAAGACAAGGCTGTCTACTACCACATGATATTCCTGATTGTAGTGGACTGGACCATGCAGCAAACAGTGGGGAGCTGTGAGAAGAGGGGGATACGCTGGACCGGGGAAAAAAACCTAGAAGACTTGGATTTTGCCAGTGATGACTTGTGTCTGATGTTGCACAAACGTGAAGATCTACAGGCGAAAACTAACAAGTTGACAGAAGAGGGAGGGCAGCGAAGACGGGACTTCAAGTGAATATAGAGAAGACAGAGGTGATAAATATACCCAACCAACAACAAACTCCAATCAACTTGAAGGAAGTAGCCTCCTTCACCTATGTAGGAAGCACTGTTTCAACTGCAGGCGGCACTGACGAGGATGTCAAAGTCAGAATCGGAAAAGCAAGACAGGCGTTTATTTGCCTGAAACCAGTGTGGAGATCTTCTGCACTCTTCACGTGGAACAAGATGCGGATTTTCAACACCAACGTCAAATCAGTGCTCCTGTATGGCTCAGAGACTTGGTGCGTTGGAGGTGAGGGTGACATAGAGAAGATCGTGCGAGGAGGAAATGGGAGCGTGTGGGCTGTCGTGGAGCCAGGTTCAAAAGATTTCAGAGAACAGAGAGCATTGGAGACGTGCTACTGTAGCTCTCTGTTCCATTAGGAACCCAAGGGACAAATAATGAATAATAAAATTAATAAGAGTTAGCCAATATCTAACGAAAGCATTTCTTACCAATCAGATCATTGAGGGGCTGGTTAAAGTGATTACAGTAAAATAAGGAAACGGTAAAACAAAAGTGTCTACTTAGGACCTAACCAGCAACCTTAAATATTTTTACACATGCCTATCTGATTACTGCTAAAGTGTAAAATATAAGCCAAATCCTCAGGGAGCTGGAGTTACTGGGAGCAAGGTAAAAAGAAAACGGTTTAAGAAAACAGCACTCATTATTGAAAACTATCCAGAAAACCCACATCATTAGGTAGAATAAGTGGTCAGTAAATAGCTCTTATATTAAAAAAACAAAAGTTTGTTTAAAACATAAAGACATATTAGAGGATGACTGGAAGTGAAGTGAAAATTTAGACCAATGTAGTACAAATTTACATTTAACGTTCAATCAAAATAAGAGAACACCATCAAGTAATCGCCATATTACAACCCAAAATTTCACACCACTTCTCATGTTAGTAATACAACACCATTTGGGGTTACAGTGCTTTCAACATGACAGATTTCCCCGTAAACAACTGCATGGATGCCTGCCTACTTCACTGGGAGGAACAAAAATCACGTCCAAAACTCAAATAACAAGACAACAATAGTAGTGATAATACTGCAGACATAACATCTTACGCCGACGGACAGAAGATCACTTATAGAAACACCTACACAAATATCCTCCGAATTTAGTCAACTACACAAATTCGTGACTGTTACTGTTTCCCATTGATGGTTGTCACATCATGAAGGGTATCAAATTTTATTTCATATAATAATCCATTAGACAAACAACCGTTCCTCAAAGTAAATGGATTATCTCGGTGATGAAACGAAATTATTTCCCATAGCCTAATTTTCGAATATTCAATGTCAGTTCGTTTTGTTTCCGGAAGTATAGACGTTAATTCTCGTCAATCAGTAGATTCTGCATAAGGTGACAGCTTGCACTACGAAAACATACAAATTTACGCTGTTCTACTCTCCCAGCTAATCATAATTGTGCACAAGTAACTCTGATATTCAAATGTTGGAAAACTCTGAAATTCATATCACTTGTATTGAATTGGTAGACAGGAAAATACACTCTGACAGTGAAAGAATTCACATACTTGCTAATCAGTTTATATCACTTCATCTCACATCAATACCTAACTGGAAGTTAGCAGGAGAAATTGAATAGAAAAGAGATGAAAATATCTAGAGACGTTAAAGTGTAGACCTGTGACCCAGTTTCTACCTGTACTTGTACCAGACTATGAGCGTTGTTTACAAGTTGACACTACCAGATAATCTACTTGCTATGGAAAGAGAGAAAAGCCATGCACAGTGTTGATTCGGACTTCATCAAAACTATGTCACAAGTCTAGGCACTGAATGGCGTGCACATACCCTTTAATAGTCAGATGAAGGTGCATCCAGCTGACGAGTCCGAAATAGAAATAAACGCACATCCTGAACTCCATCACCAGTCACCAAGATGAAACCTGTCACACCTCACTGAGTTTGGCGCTTAACACATTGACATTTAGCAATTTCCATTGAACGCAAACGTACATGGTGAACATGTTCATAAGAAATCACATGAAGACCATCTTATTTTGTATAAATATCCAATATAAATTTCATTGCACGAATAAGCAGAGATGTTGACATCAGCAAATGCAACTAGTCTGGATAGTAAACAGAAATGCAATGCAGTCACAGCCTGCCATCTGCGTACTTCTTTTCAGCATGTTTAAAAAACAAAAGGGCAACGAAATCTCAGGTGAAACATTGGTTACACATCTATCCCGACGACTTCCCTATACCTCATGTTCATATAATAGGACGTACATAGTGAAAATATTGTGGGAGAGTAAACCAGCACATAAGATTTCCCATTTTTTTCTGAGTACTAATTCCACATTTTCAACCTAAAGTTTCCTGTCTGGTAACTAAAAGGAGATCACACTCCTGAGATATTTCTGATTATTTCCTCAGTAAAGCTGTTCTACAACCTTGAATTTATTCCAAATACTGTCAGAAACAAACACGGGAAACAATGTTCTGTTTTCGCATTGATGATGCAGAAGTTGATTCGGATGGCATTCAAGAATGCTTGACGAAATGTGTCAAGTAAATGATAAAATTGTCAGTCAGCAAGGCATCTGAGTAGCTATATGACAGGTCCAAATATGGTAAAAGACAAAGAAAACTGCACAAAGTAGAAACAATCTGCTACATGAATTGTGAAGCACAATCAGTCTATCACTAAAACCAAATTCATCTTAAAATCAAAGGGAAGAACAGTCGATAGAGGATTTTCAACCTCTCCACAGAAATTGACTATTCGCCTCTTCAACTGTCAACAAGTAAATTCACCCCAAACACTCTCATATTTCTCAACAGTGTTCACACATGACACAACATTCACTCATCTAATAAAGTGAATCTCGTTGCACTGAAATCTAGGGCAGGCGCGACGAAAATGATAAGGTGATCAGAGTCACAAATCTTGATCCAGGTTTATTCTTGGTAGACATAGGACTTCATAGAAAACAAAGTGATGGTTGTGCAGCAAACCACATTCTGCAAAACTAGACAGCTCTTCATGTGAAATCGCTGCAGATGATCCCGATTACAAAAAGTCTCCATCCATATTCACACCGTAGCATACATACACCTGTCTTATGCAGTAAACACTCAACATGAGAATAACAGTTCCACCCTGAATCAAGAAGTTCAACAAACACCTCACAATCTCAGTACACACAAGTGTCAATGTCTAGATAGCAGAGACCTCAAATGAAACTGGCATAAAAATTTCAAAGTACAGGAAATTGTTTCCACAACCTATTTCAGATATGAAATGTGATGCACTGCAAATATACAAAGCACAAATTGGAACTGAGACCTTACAACTCCTTAAGCAAATATTAAACGGGCTTGCGTACATAAATGTAAAAACACTGGAAGCGGTGAAACAGCATTCACCATCTACTCATTGTTATGAAATGCATTGATCCATGCGTCCATGTGCGTATTCACTGGCGTACAGTTAGGAAATGTTCACTATCAAGGTTGCTACAGATCACAGACAGCCTTCTCAAATTTACAGATAGTCACCCCAATTACGCAATTGTACATCTCCAAATAATGTCAAAGTTAATCTACATACATGCAGCAAATTTTAATTACTCTCAACAAAATAATAAATTGTAGTGCAGTCGAATAAATTACCTCCAAGTCAGTGGGAGCGTTTATTTGGATCGTTCATCAGATTAAGTGTGTGAAGCTTGTTCCATGCAAACAGTGTTCTGCACAATTCTTGACTCTTCAAACCACTCAGGAATTTCGTCCTCTTTCATCATAAGCACATAGTCAGACAACTTGGCAAGCCTAAGTTGTTTTAATGTCATCTCATCATTTCCTTCTTTAAAAAAAGAAGTAGTTACAATAAAAGCTATTCATGCTGGCTTCCTGAATTCGTTAGTTTCAATCACAAACTTCATAACAACTTGCAGAATAATCATCACTCACACCTAATTAAAATATGAATGAACAATCAGTTTAACGGCTAACTAATTTCACACATAATTCATGAGTGAAAATAGTAGAATCACATGATGGACAGTCTGATGACTGACAGTCTTCGACTAACTTTAAGTAGGGGAGTACAGGGTGAAACAAGAAATCGACCCATCACCATCTCCGTGAATAATATACGGATGCAAGGCATGCATGCATACAATTCAATGTCACTACATTGCCTGGTATCCACTAGTATTTCAAATAAAATAGAATTCAAGCAATCATTTCAATCTTCAACACATGACGAGTTAAAAGTACCAATGCAATTGGATTCAGTCGACCTTGAATACTTTGTGAACATCTGAAATTCTACACTTCTCATTCCTGCAGCCGAGCAGAGTGTAACACTTCTCTGACAGCCTGAATCACATAGTTCACCTTCAAACCTCACCAATTTCTAGAGAGTTCAATGGGAAAAATTTGAAACCACTTCCAAGACTTGACTACAAACAGAACACTGAAGGTATATTACGACAATTATGTGAGCGCCTATCATCCATAGTAAAGTGTGTTGTGTGGGCTACAAACAAACTCATTATATGATATTACCAAATTCAAAATATGAATTTGCTTTTATACTCATCTTAAGACAAGGGTAACATTACCGATTCAAATTTTCAGACAATATTTTCAGATTGATAATGTTTTCCATGTAGATCACAGTTGAAGTCTTCCTCGAAGCGATAATCCTAAACTGATCACAAATTTATGTTTGCGCATTCGATTGAACATTGAAGTGAAAATATATTGTAGCACACCGATTAGCCTACTGGCGGAAATCTCTACAACACGCAAATTAAGTGACTAGATATCTATTCCTGGGGTCCCAAAATGCCACACTGAATGAACAACAACTTCATTTTACCAAAAAGAATAAGCGACAACCCCCACTTATCAGACCTATCCACAAAAAATGAGAAAGTTGGCTGTCCATCTAAGAGACGTGAAGAAGGTGAAGAAAGAAACGAGGGTTATAATGCAGGTTACAGTAGTAAAACGAATTATCACAGTTGAATAAGAGAAACTGAGGGGAGTTAGTAGTAATAAATGTGATTATAATAATGATCACTTTATTCCAAACATTATTGATACAATTTGGAGTTCTCAGTATGACAAGATAAGGGACTGGATATACTTCATTCTACACGCAGAGATCAGACTTGAGTTGGTAACTTGTCAATGATCTTTACGTGCATAACTTTCGGAAGCACAATCCTTCTGAACTGCTCCTGACAACTTTGGAGATGAAATTGAAAGGGGACTCTGGCGGCTTATATACACTACTTGACATCTGTTTCTCTCCTAAACTTCCCAAACTCTGTATTCGTTATCAAAGTCAAGTGTGATATTTAGAGTAACCCAGCACAAGTAAGGCTTTTGGATACTCTTGTTTCTCTTCAGTCACCTGATCCACTCTCATCAAGTCCCCCAACAATCTCCCTGATATCCCTGGAACTTTCATGTTTACTTAACTTACGTTAGGCACGATAACTATCTGGTGTTGATCTGTTCATGCTACAGGTTGAGTGATTTTGGCCAATTAGGCCCCTCTCTTCAAAGTATAAGTATCAAACCGCTAAGCCGTGGATATTATACGTTTCACCAAATTTTTGTATGTGTCAGAATTAGACTGGCCAAATTATACTGGAAGAACTCAAAGTTTTGAGTTAAATCGCAGGTGATAGGCTACCTATTTCTCTGTCCATTCAAGAAGTTACATTAGTCCAACGAGCTTAAGCAGCACAACATCAAGTGGCCAAACCATCCAAAGTTGAACGGTTATCAGAAAAGTAAACGATTTATCTTGTTAGCTGTCTACCATCTTGATGCAACATCTGATAAAAGCTGGTCATTCCGTATTCCACTCAAAGAAACAGAACTTTTAACTACCTATGATGCTTCCCAACTTCTACTGGCGGCGATTGCAATGAAAATTCGAAATGTATCTTGGACACCACGTGTACGTCTTCTCTAATGGGCAACAGGTTACACTGATTTTGTGAAGGCTAATGATCAAAATTTGGCTGATAAGGCCCCTTTAGATGGTACTGGGTTCCAACTCGTAACCAACTGATTGAAAGTCAAGTACCAATACCGGTCAGTCTTAGTCCCATGATGGCCACAATATATAAACTTCGAATAACTAAGGAAACACTGACAGCAAGCCAAAGCCACAGTGATTACGTCTATCTTTTCTGTCGGTATGAGGTTTTAAAAGGTCTTTGAATATACTAGGACCTTAGAGTGGATAGAAACGATGCTGTATTGTAGAAAAAGAGGTGAAATAATCATGAAAGCTTACTAAAACAAAAGAAACAAGGAATGCGAGTTGCACTGACAACATTTAGACATTTGAATGCTCTTAAAGTGCTTTCTAATTTAATAAAATCACTTCGAATTCGACAAATTGTGATTGTAGTCATCATTTATGAGCCCAAAAGTTATTTGCTTCAATCAGAGGCCTGACTTGCGGAAGGTAATTCCCGTCTAAAATGTGGTAGAGTACGCATGACTGCATACGACAACAACGACACAGTTCACTTTAGTGACAGCTTTGCCATGAGAAGCAACAAAACTTGACAATTCTACACATCAACTGATTTAGCTTCCTTTAACTAAACATATAGGTAGTTTAGTAAGTCCCTATGAAGAGTGCAGTCCAAAAATAGTATGGATGTACATTCTTTTGCTGGTGTGCATTTTTGTTTTTATTGCTGAATGAAATCTCTGGTACCCAAAGTCAAATGTACTCATAGAGTATCGACATGCACCGAAATTCTCCGTCATGAATACAGGATTTTGAGATAAAAATCGATTCTTTTAGGTCTATATAAACTTATCAGCTTTTATATGATCCTGTAATGAATCCCCATTGCAAAGACACTCTTTTTTTATGTCATAACATACAGTGTGTCAGGGTTTTTCGTAAGGGTCTGATGCCCAACATATAGCAAGCGGTCGATCCATTTTAAACTTTATGTTTAACGTTTTAAATAGTGTCGCATGTTTCAAGGCCGTCAGTGTCAGAAATGGGGCTGTAAGGCATAGAAGTTGGCCAAAGACTCAGAGAAAAATCTAAACGAATGAAAACCAATAGAAAAAAATTGAATAATAAACGAAATTCCTGTGCAAAGGAGTTTTGTAGGAAACATAATATGACAAAGTCCTAAAGCTGTTAGCTCTAATTAACATCACTGGAAAATTTACCTGGGAAGGTGAAGTTGAACAAACCCCCTTAATCCTCACTACTTCAGGCAGATGACTCAGCGCCACAACATTCTCAAGATTATACGGTATCTGGCACATTGCCCGCATCTAAATTTATCTGACGTCTCACCATCCACAAGCATATTGATTAGACCTGAACTATGTTCGTAAATCCAGTGTTTTGCAAGTTCAGAAGACACGCAGTCTGGACATTTTTATTACTTATGCCGGACAACAAACTTCAATATATGTATCCACTCTCAGTTTCTGTTAAAATCCTAAACACCTTAAAACACGTGGCTGAAATGCCTATTTCTCCACTAACTTGTGTGTTTCTGTTTATTTTAACATCCATGCATGATATATTTTTCAGTTTATTTTTCATTGGCGTCACAAACGACAACAACCTTAACGGCTGGACTTTTGTGTGAGATGCTACTTTATCGTTTCTTTCCATCTACTGATTTAAACCAATTCACCAACAAGCAGTGGGGCTCTAGTAAGCATCATGGAAAACAAAGGAAACGGAGTCTCAACATCAGCATCAGCCAAATGCCGGGTGAGTTTACAGAGGGAGAATGTGGGCAGCATATTGTCTCAATAGACACCTTATTCCACTATTAACCACTTTTGTTGCAGTCACCATCAGGATGTGGATTCTTGGCTGCCTACAAGTTTTGTTTCTGCTCTAAGAGTTTGAAACTTGAGACAGAATTATTTAGAAATGTTTTGCACTACTGAGTTCAACCTATGTTTGTGAACCATAGGTGTGGCAAAACGAGGGATAGCGGATGCTCTATCCTAAGAATACTTAGTTTTGGCTATGTATAACCATACAATAATCCAGTCATTTTAACACTGCCTGCCCTTTCTATGTCCTTCAGCAATCATGTCATCCCCTACGCTAGATTATTCTGCCAATCTAGTTATCTTTAACGTCTGTCTGAATTTATGCTGGTGCTGAAAAATGCATAATGACACTAAGATGTGTCGTTCATCTGACCCACTCGAGTTTCGGAAACTTTATTGTGGTGGTCTTACATGAATAGACTTGAGCTAATATTGACGTCGAAAGTCAAACAAATTCACTGTAATGCACTCGTCCATGATGATGACCGATGTTTCTCGGTGGATACAGGACTGTGGTTTGCAAACAACTCCTCCTGCTTCAATAACCCAACGTATGAACAGTTTACGACGAACACCGTCTCTGAGTACATGTGCTCAGATCAAGTACCGACAGGCGGTGTGTAGTACACCGTATGCCACCGAATTACTCACAGCAGTGGTACACGTATTTCTCGGGTCTGACTGTCTTTGACTGAGTACATGATACCTCGAAGGTACAAAATGACTTTTTAAGCATTAGTTGTGTCAAAGCGGATGGAAGTTCAGCCTTGCACCAAGCAGCAGTAATTGGTTACCTGTCCAGTGATCTTCCACCATCTCCCTAACTGAATAATCAGTATTCAGTTGTTCCAACATAATTACTCCACCTTCTATAGTTATTTTGTGTAGAAGTGGCTGTTCATTTCCATAAAATAATAATTCGCGTACGCAAGCACATGATCAACAGTACTTTGTGTTTTGATGTCCTCCCAGTTTAGTTTTGATAGCAGTCATCTTTTTAGTCATTGTAGGCTAAATATCAGTC